CCTACACAGGGGGAGTCACGTGACAGGCCGGTGTCGGCACCTCACCTGAAACGCGGTGGTCACGTGGCACGGGTTGAGGATATAGATGAGCTGGCGCGTGGCCAGCTTGAAGCCGATCTCTGCGCCGAACATCAGCGACATGATGACCAGCAGAATCCTCCGGCCGGCACGGTCCTTTCTGGGGACGAAAAAATCGTCACCAGGTAATACTGACAATTACAAAATTGACTGCTTGCGATAAAAACTAGTCAAAAGTAGCTAAGAAGCGGTTTGCTGATAACCATATTACTACATCAGTGGCTCAGATAGGGGAAGCGATGGGAACCAAATAGAGGTGAGAGCCCGATCTAGTGCTCTTTTTCAAAATAAAAACTGCGGCCGGTAGGTTGCAAAGGTCGATAAGTCAGGGCAAGCCCTGCAAAGCGTACCAACTACCAACGAGAGACGTTGGAATAAATTACGCCGCTTTCCACGACTGTCTTCATTGAACGATAAAGGCAAGATCGTGCGTAACAGGGTAGCTCACAGTGAAGTCTATTACTCATATTATCTTTCCAAACATTAAAACTGGGCAAACAAAAACGCAAGCAAAAACTCTGGACGACCTAATCACCAATCGAATGACCCGGCTCCGTATCCGCCACAAGTGGGGTCGCGAGGTCCGAGCAGCGAAAACGGCTCGGCGAATTACAGCGTCTGTGAGAGCCTTGATTGCGATAAGTTGTCTTCAATGAGACGGGTCGGCCCAGCATTATCTGATTAAGCAAGCCCGCCTCGAGTGGGCACTATGTAGACATAAGTACTCGGACTTCGGAGAAACAACAGCAGAAAATCGTTTGGCTTCGTGTCAGGGACTCAAAATATTTCATATGGAAAAAGACATGCCAGGTATGCAAATTACTCAACTGGTTGCCCAAGAGCGAAGTGACTGAAGTCACATTTGCAGATAGGTATCCTAAACGCACCGACAGCATTGTACAGCCCTCTGCAAACTGCGTGGTAGGTATTCTTTCTTCGACAAAACCGAGAATAACGCGGATACTATGCTATCGGTCGCTCGGAAATCATAACAGCAAGATGCGCGAGACTCCGCACCTTAGATTGGCATTACCATCGCATTCATTTTCCATCCAGTTTGGCAACAAAACCCAAAAGTTTATATTTACCCCAAAACAAACTTTTGCATTTTGTTGCCACACAAGGCATATACTTTGTTTAGTGATATACCCAATCGAAGGAGTAGAACATGGCGCCTCTATTTTCAGTGAGTTTCGACCGACTGACAACATGGTCTTTGAGTTATTACTGGTTTTGTCGAAAAAAGAATACCTACCACGCAGTCTGCTGAGGACTGTACATTTAGGAGGTAACTCTGGGCTAGAATTTTGTTGTCGCGTCCTTTAACAGTTCTTCAGGTTCACAAGTTACTCGTACACAGTATTCAATCGAAAATATCTTTACTGGGAAACACTCCTTTCAAAATGACCTTAGGTAAAAGCTATACATTATCAAAGCTATAAAAACCTTCATTGTATTTTCTTGAGGCTTTCGATGCCACCTGCAGCCTGTGGCTGGCCTGTAGCAGACTGCCTCAAGCTGCGAGTCCGTGACTGCGAGAGACACTTCCAATACGTGGGTATCTAGCCCCATCCTACGAAAATTATGGGAAATTCAAAGGATTAACGTTAACGAAGGATTGTAAATGTGCAGGATTGACTGCTAAGTGCTAGCAAGACTAAAGAATTAGTCCATATTAAAACGGTCATACAGAAAATAGGCAAGTACAGTCACACAACATACCCAAACCCTCAAATGGTACCTCAATGAATTGAATCCCATGAATAACAAGCCCCAGGCTGAGGACACTTTCCACATGATATGACCAACTCAGCAAACACAAAAACTCAGCGCCTATCCCGTAGCTCAGTTGGTAGCGCGTTGGAACGGGTTCGGGTCGCTCTGGCGACCGGCGCTCGATATTTTAATCTCCTGTCCGGGATGGTTTGCGGTTGGTGGGAGCAGCCGCAGCCAATTAAAATAAGTTGAGTGGACAGGCCGTGTCCGGCTTTGAGGGCATCTAAATTCTCCGGTTACCTGGAATGTGCGATCGGACAGTAGGGGTCGGGGTCTACGCAACAAGCTCATCTTACGTAGGCTCTGGCTCTGTCAATGCGTTCGTTCAAAGCATCCATATTTTTTTTTTTTAATGTCAGCTCACCCAGACACACAGCCCTGTAGTCTCCAACTTACCCAGCTGCCAGTGACGGCAGCATACCCACTCGGAACTCACCTGATGTATGTGCTGGTTCGTGGTACGGTAACCTGGGAATATCCCCAGACAAAGTAGAGCAGGCTAATGCCCACCGCTACCACAGTCTCGATGAGCCGTGCCACAGGAGGCAGGAAGTCATAGCACTCCTGACCGCCATTGCCCGGCAGAGCAAAGTTGACTCCACCGTACAGCGTGTCAGCAAGCCCGGCCCAAGAGTAACCAAACATGGTGGCTGGAATAAAAAGGTAGCATATTAATATACATGTTACTGGATGTAAGGTTAGCCATCCTGCTATGGTCAGGAACAATAAATTGATCTAGAAAATTGTCAAAACAGCTACTTAAATCCAAGAAGCACGGAAACCGCCAAACAATTCTACAAAAAATGAAAAGGAGAGCCACCAGTTGTACAAAAATGTTAGAATAAGATGCAGCAGCTCATCTGAACCCTCCCATTTTGAGGTGGTACATGGATAATTTTCATTTCATGCAAGTAATTCATATTTTAGCTTAAGTACGGATAAACGAAATAAATAATCGCTTCGCAACCACCCATCACCGCCAATCATCAAGCAAGACTCGGCCCGCCCCATACAACACAAAATAACTGCAGAAGCCTAAGGAAGGGATCATATTGAGCCCCCAACACACATCACCTTGGCCAAACCCTGGCTATTAAAGAACCAAAGCGCCAAGGTATTCTTGCCAGAATGGCTTGTAAAAAAACAGAAAAACAGAAAATTACAGCGATTAGTGTAGTAAAACTTTTTTTATTACAAAAATTTAAAAATATTTTTATAGGGATAATCCGCGTATTTACAAATTGCAACCGAGCTCCGCCGTGGGGTAAGGTGGGTAGGGGTTTTCGCACTACGGCTGCGGTTGAACTACCGTCTGTGGTAGAAACTTCAGGATGATGGCGCGTTTCAAACGAAATCTGGCGCAATGTTTGTTTGCATCTGAATTTGTATTGTTATTGCTGTGAAATGTTGAAGTGGAGGTGTTTCAATAACAATTTGTGGATTATTTGAGTTTCTTGATATAAAAATCGAATAATATTATGAAACATTGTGTGGAAACTTCAAATACTGATATAATCAATTGCTTAGTTTGGTAATTGATACACATTTTGTAGAGGTTTGTCTGGCAAATGGTGTCAGTGTAACAAACTGCAAGCCTATCATGATCTGAAGCTGTTGTAACAAATCAAAATTGCTTTGATGTTCCATAGTACCTTGTTGGAATGACTGGAGCATGCAGTTTTGAACTACCTTTTTGATGGAAGTTAGGATAATGGCGCGTAAAATCTGGCGCAATGCTTGTTTGCTGCGTGTTTGCAGCACTGAACTCTATAATGGTTTGCAGTTTTGCAGTTGTCTGAAGTCTGGGTTATATGAATATCATTTATCAACGTACGTAGAGTGAGGGTGATGTTGGATGATGTTAACCATTACGATTATCTGCATCAGATCAGCCCTATATTTTTTACATAGGAAGGCAAATCTGTGTTGTGTTTATGGATTGCCAAGCTGTTACGCGCCCTAACCCAAATAACAACAACAGTTTATTGATTGGAATGATTAGAAATAATTGCTTTAAACATTTGGGCATCTAAATCTGTTTCAAATATCAAATCAAAATGTATCATAGCTGGCAAGCAAACCTTATTAAATATACTTTCCCAAAATGGTTAGATGAAACCGATTAAATGTGTTAGGATACTGTTAAGCCCAGGTTCCACTACAGGATTTTTCCGTGGGTTGTTGCGATTTTGTGATAAAGCGATATCGCGTCATCGTTAAAAAGTTCAAAATTCTGAACTTTTTTGTGATAATGTGATAATGCATTAGTGATATTGGGCAAGATTTAGCAATGCGATTCCAGCAGTGTGGCTCAGTGCATCTGTTTGCACTAAATGAGCATTTTCTAACATCGCCAATCGCATTGCATTATGCCATTATCACAAAATGGCACAGAAAATCTTGCAATGGAGCCTGGGCTGTAGGCAAAGTTCAAAAACACATTTTTTATTATACTTATGTCATTTTCAAGGCCAGTTCAAAGGTCAGGTCGCTAAGGTATTGAAATCCAATTTATGCCCAATTCCAGAGTATTTTGTTTATTTCCAGGTCCTATTAGATAGATAGTTTATTGGGACCCTGCACAAGTGTAGGTTCTCTGGCGTCCACGTCAATTGCACAGTAAGAACATATTTGAACACATACATATTACCTATGAACATACACATGATAGTTGACAGTAAAAACATTCAGACAATTGAGACTATTGAAACTATTGAGACTATTCAGACTATCGAGACAATTCTGAACGAAATGATGCATAATTTAGAAACAGATAGAGCTACAGCACCCCAGAAAAGCACATTTGGGAGTTCTGTTATAGCTCTTTCTGCATAATGCCCTCCCTCTCAAATATTTGTTCATTAAATTCTTCAAATCTAGAAAGACTACATCAAGTGATGTAGGTTTGCTCGCCTCCACAACACACTGTCTCGATATCCATTCCAGTATTTAATCATAGCAGATTTGCAGCATTTACCTATATCTCAAGCAAATATATCCATGAAAGCAATATTGGCTAATCAACTCAGCCAAAGAATATCATGTCAATTGTCAAGGAAAATAAAAAAAGAGCTAGCATAGAGCTTTGTTTTCAGGCGCAACATGCCTATCCCTTTTTGTTGCTGAGCACTAAGGAGAAACCCCACTTTACCTGTTTCTCAGATTTATTTACCTAAGAATTGTTTTCTGTTTCAGAACTCATTATTTTAATAAGGTTTGTTATAGGAAACAGCTCTTTTGGTGAATGACTGCCTAGGAGGATGCTCTCTGAGGTGAGTGGTTATGCTATCATGTCAATTTTATCGGTCATCAGTTTTGGATAAACCACTTGAGTAAATATTCAGTGAGTGAGGCAAGTCTGATTGGTCTGTGCCAATAAACTAAGCTTTGGCTTTGCTTTTCTCATGACCCTCCAGAACCCAATCTGTAAAGCATGACAATTTTAATGGGCTCTTGTCACTTGTCCTGTGTGGGGGCTGTCGTTTGATGTGGCTGTGTTTTGCAGATTTACTATGATGGCTATATCAATGGTGTGTGCCGTGTGGCATATTATTTGGTGTTAATGGTAGACTTTTGCACTCATTTGCCAGTCATTGCCATACTATCGACTTCCAGCTCTTCTATTCTATGGCACTTTGAACCGCACTGCAAGCTTTTTTACCTTGCCATGTCTAATCGTTTGGCCTCCAACTGTTTTTATGCCACTTGATCAACAATATGCATGCCTGTTAACCAAATTATGTCTTTTTAGGAGGAGTACTGCAAGGTGCTGGGTGGCAATGGCCAGCCATACATCCTTTGTCAACGCCTGGGCATGTTTCCTGGCATCGAAGAGGTTTGTGGCTGGTTGCAAATTGCATGATTTGGTCCAAGTCATCTTTTATTCTGGAAGCTATTTTCCTGTTTGTTTAGTTTCCATTTTGTAACAGTGGTTGTCCTCAAGTTCATGCTTGTTTGCTCAGTTTTTAATTTTTGACAGTGATTTTGCTCAACTTCATGCTTGAGCAGTGTACAGTGTGCACGTTTCCTATATTTGAATTTTCGCTGCCCTGGCCCAGTAAGATATTAAAAGAAGGAGGAGAAAAGGAAAAAAAGGAGAAAAGAAAAGTGCATGTGATGTCGGGCTGACAGGTTGCCGAAATGAGATTCTCCATAAGTCATTGTATTGCTACTGATTGGAGTTGTCAGTAGGGGGATCCTGGGGGAGCTCACCACAGTAAGCTCTTTAATTTTTACCTCATACCTTGCGTGCTCTATAAAATGTTAATATTGTATTAACTGAATGGGTTAATTGTCCATGTGTTCCCCACAAACAAATCGAGTCTGTGGAAACTGGAACGGGTATTAATCTGCAACGGGTATCCGGTATGAATATTGAATATGTTTTCTTCCTTGTCAGGAGCTGCTTTCCGGGGCGACTATTTCGGTTCGATGCCCGTCGGAGGAGAAAAGCGCCACAGAGTGGCTTAGACTCTTCGAGAAGGAGACTGGCACTACCTTCAGTGTCATGGCCACGGATGGTGAAAAGAGCAAAAATGCTTGGGTTCTACACCAGGTATGCACAGCGTAGTTACATTATTATTGTCATGCTCATATTGGAACAGGGAGATCTTCAGTTACTTGTCATTTGTAGGTAACATCTTGCCTTTATATCGCATCTTTAAAGTTTAATATTTTTTCTTGCCTCAGGTTAAAATGTGGTCTCGTTTGGCACTTCTTTGCATGTATATATTATTGGTTTATTTATTACGTATATTATCCCTCGCCAGCACAGGCCATTTTGCTTCCTTCGACGGCACAGGGGGGGGGGGGGGGGAGGGTACGACCCCCTCGTCTTTGGCCCCTGATCGAGCTAGAGCTTCGCGGAAAAAACGAGTGTTTCCCGTGACGAGAGAAAGCCGATGCTGCCCAATGTTAAGGTCCTAGGTCATCGGTTGACGTTTCAGGTCAGGTCAATGACCCAAAAATCGGGAAAAGTGGGACCTGTTAGAACGTCGTAAAGTGTGGCTGCTAAGGGGTTTTTGGGGGTGCTGATCACGAATATCTTGTTAGTTTTGATCACAGATGATGTCTTTATGCATTTAGGCCAGGTCGGGTCAGGTCAACCAGTAGGGGTCCTGCCTGGTATTCGTAGTACGTGTCAATCGCCTCTGACAGCTTCGTAACATGTTACGAAGGCACCAAAACTACTTCGTAAATGTTCAAATGGTTGCTAAATTCGAATTCAGCCAAAAAAAAGACTAGCGTAGAAACATGTATAACTCGAGAAAGTGGACCGAGGTCACCAAAGGTCAATGATCTGACCTGACCTTCAGGTGACCTTGACATCCACCCTAATGCATGGGAGCAACATCAAATCACATGTTTGAACGCTTAAAACCACGAAAAGACTGCAAACGCGCTGCATGCGAGCCAACATACGCCGAATCGCGATTCCGGCCAAACATGGTCTCTGAAAGTAGGTCAAGGTCAAAGGTCATTTGGGTCAGAGTCATGCAATTTTCAGGTTAGGTGTAAAAGGGACCAACGCAAGGGTACTGAAAGTTTCGTCGCGATTGGCCGCTCTATACGCGAGTTATTCGCGAAAAACCTTAGGGGGTTGCATCAATCCCCCCCCCCCCCCGTGCCGTTATATATCTCTTTGCAAATGATTGCCTCTGCCTGAGCTTGGGTGGCTTTGCTTTTTTAACATGAATATAATTGCTTGACAGAAACGCGTGCGGTGCCAGCACTATGGCCGCACCAAGGAGGGCGCAAGAGGAAGGTCGCCACGAGATACCGGTTGCTCCGTCATCCTGAGACTGAAAGTCCGGAGAGTGGTTCTGGCGGAGAACCGACAGAGCAGGTTTGTGCGTCCAAGATGTGTTTTGTGCAATGTTCCTGCCTCCTGGTTTGAGTGGGCTCTACATGCTACGGTGGCCTCGTTACCTTTAAGTGTACCTTTTGGACTTGTTTTGCATACTTGCGAGTAGCGGGGGATCTTGTATTCGTGTGTGTCTTGCAACATGTTAAAGAGTGAATTGGCGGCATATGGAAGGTAGTCATAATTATGATGACGTATTTTCCAGTTATTGTTAGCATGTTGTGACACTTTCTATTGACCATTAAGACTCAGTTTTTTTGTAACCCATGCTGCCGTGCTAAGGCAAAAACGACTGCGTTAGGGTGACCTCTGACCTGACGTAATGACCTTTGACCTGACGCAATGACCTTTGACCTGATGTAATCGTGTATTGCCTTTGTATAGGAAAATGGGTCCAATGTGGAGTACGGACCGCCCAATTTGAGTGATACTAAGCATAAGGTGTGAGAAGTGTCTATAATTGATAGTTGATGCTCATCTTGTGCGGTCTCTTTTTGATCGGGATTTCCCAACGTCAATGGTGTGTGTAAAATCGCGCCATGGTATGTAAATAAATGTTTAGTAGTTGTGTACATATTAGGCTGTCTCGTCCAACCCAAGTTTCGGAATGGAGTCTTTGCTTCGTGCAACCCTTGGCTTCATACATGTACAATATACAAAGCGTTGCTAAGACCCATCTGTACTGATTGACAGGTCCAAGAAGCCCGACGCAGGCTACGAACTGACGGTGGTGGCCAATGGGGAGCGGCACAACCACGCCACGGATTCGGCGGCCGCCCTCAAGTATCGCCGTGTGGGCTCTCCCGCACGGGCCAGGCTCACTGAGCTCTTCCGCCATCATCACTCCGTCGCCACAGCTCTGGAAACGCTCAGAGTGGAGCTTCAAGCCGAGTACGGGGACGAGTATCCGCTCGTGTCCGCCGACCGGTCCATCGTGCCCGACAGCCGCTACGCCTACGAGTAAGTGCTCTTTCCGAGAACCGGATTTGCTATGGGTGTCGTTTTAGTTGGAACGAGACATTAATGAGCATTACATAAGCATCAGCACACGTCGCATCGGTTTCGATATTTTGTTTTTACACTTAAGGCCGCCTTCCACTATGCGGAACGCTTGCGGTCCGTACGGAATTTAACACAGAGCCCTATGGGCGAATCCGGTCCGTACGGAAATCATGTGCGCTCCGTGCGGACCGCATCCGAACGGCAATCAGCTGTTGATTTTCTGTCAGCTCTCCGCAAGCGTTTCGGACGCGGTTGCCACGGAAACGAAATAACAACGTCCGACATGTTGAACTTTTCTGCGGAGAACACAGACGGAATGGACGCGGACAGGGACCGTCTTCCGTCCTCGAGTTTTCGATTGCAAATTTAAGATAAAATCACAACTTTTTAGATGAAGTAAGTAAATATAATGTCCTTGAAATGGCAGCACTATGTGATGCTAGTAAATTGTTATATTTTCTTTTGTAATAACTGATAACTGCTCTTCACAAAGTGTTCGCCAGTGTCCGTTAGCTTTCCGTCTGCGGTCTGGATGCGGTCAGCGAGCGGCGACATTCCTGACCGACTCCGGACGGAATTCCGTCACAGTGGATGGCGGCCTTTAGCATATGACAAAGCTTCTCACTAAAGATAGCGAAAAATTGCATATTGAGTCAGATAAAAAAGAACTGGAAACTAAATGGTAAAAATAGTCCGAGTGTGTTTGCTTTGCAGTTTTCAAGTGTCTTGCTGGCAGACTGTGCGTCCAAGAAGCAGTGGTAGAGGAGAAATTGACGCATACGTTAGCGGGTACCCCGATTCCATATGTTATGCGCGGTCCACGGCGGCGACACCAGTGAAACGTTACATTTAAGTGTAGGCCATGACAGCTCGCTACTCGCGTTTCCTCCCTCAGACTGTACCAGAAGCTCTTCAAAGAAGAGTACGGCACTGGCGCGAACCAGCGTCTCAGTAGCCTAGATAACATCAAGAAGGTGGTGACTAACACCGAGCGGGTCGCCGTCGAGCAGCATTGCGGCGAAACGATCGTCGCAGCGGTCACGCCTTTGATGGAACGGGCGCACACCCTCCGAGAGTCTGGTGAAATCGTCTTCATCGACGCATCTGGGAACATGGACCGGGACAACCTGCGCGTGTTCCTCATAATGACGTGGAGCGTCGCGGGAGGTCTGCCGCTCGGCGTCATGCTGAGCACTTCTGAGGCCCAGACGACGCTCGAGAAGGGTCTGAAGATGCTGTGTGACATCTTGCCCGATGGTACGTTAATGTTACAATGATGCAGTGTGCACTGTGCATGGCTAATGGCTATACTGTGTCTTAAGTGGTTGTGGACTGAGCATGTCGCATGTCACTATTTTGGGGTTGCCAACTTCAGCTCTTGGTTAGTATGATTGTTGACTGGCAATGCTTGTGCTGGGAGTTGAGTGGTGGTGGTGCTGCCTCACTGTTTTTGGGCGTGGCTTACGCTTGTCCTAACTCTCAGCCGTTATCATCCAAAACCAGTTTCTCGTTTTCCGTTCATAATAATCCAGTCACCATTTTCCCTCTTCCTTGTAGCTGCCTTTGGTGGGCGCGGACGCCAGGGACCAGCGGTCTTCATGACTGATGACTCCGCCGCGGAGCGTAACGCTCTTCGGGAGACGTGGCCCTCCGCGAGGCTGCTGCTCTGCCTCTTTCACGTTTTGCAGGCGGCGTGGCGATGGCTGTTTGACGCACGCCACGGTGTCCACATGAAGGTTTGATTTATGTCTAGCTTGATTCCTTTTCACAAAACGATTTATATGTTGAGTAACCCGAACGTGACTATATAGTGCAAGAATTGAACATTGATTTTTTGCTATTTTTCTATTAGATACAAATAACATCGAAATAACATTCTATTGAGCTTTTCATCTAGATAACAATGCAATATTCCTCTGCAACGTTGCGTTGTGTTCAACTTTGTGTTTAAATGTATCGTCGTCTTGCATTTATCTTCGTATTGCTAATTCAATCGCCAAATATCATGTATTAGTATTAAAAGGACCCTCCCACCTTCAAAAAAGTTAATGAATTGGCGATGTCGCTCGGTTCAGAAAGAGCAAAAACGAACATCTACCAAATTTCACCGAAAAATATTCACCGGTTTTCAAGATATTACACTTAAACTTGTGTTTACTTTTGGGAACTCCACTCAGTTCCTACGAGGTAATTTATAAGCAATAATTTGGCATCCTGAAAGTGTGAGAGTTGTTGCGCGCAAAGCAGGATATACCACCACCAGTTACCAAACGTCATAGTAAAGTAAAAGATTTGAAATAATTAGATCTGCGCTGACGTCACACATTCAGAGGGGGCATTCAAATCCATTGGCTCCTCTGAATCCAAATTGCTGCGACTTTGAAATAAAATATTTTCGATTTTGTGAGTGCCAAAACCGGTAATTGCAAGCCAAGGACCCCAACTTGGCTATCTGAACTCAAAACTAATCTTTAGGTTGGATGGTCACCTTGATATACATTATACAAGATGTTATTTGACATAAGACTGTCTCTCGGAGCTCTGCTCTTGCTGGTTATTTTGTGACACGTTGCGTCTGCGGACAGGACCGGCAGACACTGATGGCGTCCTTGAAGAGGATCGTTTACGCCGAGAGCGAGGTGTCGATGGGACAGCACATGGAGGTGCTAGACCGCGAGTGGGGAGACATCTACCCCAGCTTCCTGTCCTACGCGATGGGACTTTACCAGCGGCGAGAAGAGTGGGCCTTGTGCCTGAGGGATGACATCCCCACTAACGGCCACAACACTAACAACGTCGTGGAGTCGGCCTTCCGCGTCGTAAAAGACTCGGTGCTGTACAGGTATGTTATATCATATGCATGTCAGCCCGTGGCAAATGAGACGACACGATGACACGATGCAATGTTATGCATGACTGCCACGGACAGAGCCGCTTGCTTGATTTTGACCTCGGTAACAGTGAAAAACTTAATTTTCCCAAAATTCGTGTCGGCACTTTGTATGTCAAACATTAGGGTCTCTTCGTCTAGACCTGGTATATAGGACCTTGGCCTGGACTACAGACGGTGCGCGGCTGAGCTTTACACATGATATAATTACTTTGTTATAACCTGTTTGACCCAAATTATTCAGCTAAAAACGGAGAACCCCTCCAATTAGGTGTGTACGGGCTTGAACACTGCATTTATTTACCTTACATTGTATTGAGTGAGTTGATCTAAGTTTGTACCCACATGCCCAAAACTGGCAAGACTGCGAACAAATTCGTGAAAATATCGGAGTCCGCGTTATCGTCATTTGAACAGAATTTCGCACGAGTGTTATCGAACTGAGTTACAAGGAAACAAGCATTAATTTGATAGGTCAAATTATAGTAGCATTGGCAACTGCACAAAGTGAGCTCAACTTGTATCAATCACACATAATTGTCTGATATTGCTTACTTCAAACGGAACCGGCAATCCTTCATACGAACCTACCTATGTAAACAATTTTGTTGTTGAACAGGACGCGCGCGTTCAACGCCGTGCAGCTGGTGGACTTCCTGACCAACCGGCTGGAGTCCTACTACCAGCGGCGGCTGGTGGACGTCGCCAATGGAAGGCGAGCTCGCCAAAGACAGCAGCGGGCAGCGGCACCATCGACCGGCGAGATCACTCAGGTATTGTGGTATCACGCTAGATTGGTGACTGGCTAAATAGAACACTAGTTTAATAACTTAGCATAACATCGATCTAGTAACCGTCTACAAAAAAAGTTATGCAGTTGCTTTTTTTTAGTTGCATACCTTTGTCGGACGTGGATCGCTGTTGGTGTATATGTGGGTGGACGCGAATGTGGACCAAAAGCAAGTAATTTTATCTGGTGGCCTCACAATTGATCTCACGTTATCTGCTGACTTTAATCAGGTATCGCTGAATAAAGGTGCGTGAATACCGATTATGGCATACGGCATAATGCTGAAGAGCAGCTTCGAAGATGTGATGAAAATCGGCGGGAGTGAAAATTAATTTCCACACCTGTTGCCTAATCCTCCAGTTGCAGTATGGATCTGTATTTCTTTATTTCAAATTCTGCAACTCATATCCACATTTTCGCAACATATTGAAGATTACATAGCATGGCATGTGGGTTCGATTCCCACGACTGATATAAGCAGCTATGAATCAGGGATGGTCTGGCTGTGCAGCGTAATCTTCAGTTCCATCTTCATGTTCAGCTCTCCTTCTAATGACCAATCTTCACCTGCATTCAATCAAATCTGTGTACTCTCTTCATCCTTTACGCTTCAACCTCCCTCCTCTCTTCACCGCAAGAGACATTTCGATTATTCAAGCATCAGATACATTGACCCTAAAGGTAAGCTTGAAAATATAAGGTCAATTTGCATTTTCGGCGAAAAGTCATGATGCATATCGCGTGTCGATTTGTATCGTTGAGCTGAGCATATCCAAGGACGGCTTACGCGGCTACCGCTGACCTCATCTCTGACTTCACGGCTACAAAGAGGGGTCACGGGTGCAAATTCTAGACTTCATAAAATATATCTGTGCCGAGATGCTTGAATAGATGTAGTATGACTATCGTCAAAAAGCTCAGTTGAATTGTCTCCCTCTCCCTCTGTCCGGGGAGATGGCAAAATTTGACAAGACAAGACAAAGGTCATCGATATCAACTTTCCAAGATGTACATTTCATACACACTATTGTCCTGCCCAATCGCTTGAAATTTCAAAGCCATCAGGCAGTCGATCTAGCTATGGTTGTCATTGAAATTTTTCCTGAGGTATTGTCATTTGACGGGGTCTGAAATTGTGACATGTGCAGAGAAGATGAATGATGAGGTGTGGCAAAAAGAGAAACAGCAGTGCTATAACTCGTTGCTGTTTTTAAGATATTCGTGAAAAACCGCAAGCGGGTGTCTTCAAGCACCGCTCCCCAGCAGGGCGCGGGTAGAAATAGGTGGTGTTTTGTACTAGCCATCCTTCAGCATACCTTATCCTGTTCGTCAATGAGCCCATCTGTAACTTATTTCACAGATATCCGATGACATCTACGAGGTGCGGTCGTCCCAGCAGGCCCATGAGACGCCGTACGTGGTGGACGCCGCCATCGCCTCCTGCTCCTGCGCCAGCAGCCGGTGGAAGAGAGTGCTGTGCAAACATCTCCTGGCGGTGCTGGAGCAGAGGGGCGACGAGATGCCCGATGCTCATCTGACCGAGTCGGGCAGGCTGGCCCTGATGACGATTGCCACCGGTCAACGGGCCTGGCCTGCAGGGTGGTTTGCGCCTCTTGCGGAAAAGCCTGGGGCTAGCGCAGCCCTGCCCGCCGGCCCATCTGCTGCGCCCAGCGAGTGCGATGCTACACCAGGCTGCGAGGCCGTCAACGAGGAGGCTGCACCTCAGGCGCCCCATGGCGAAGGGTCAACTTCGCCCTCCGCGAGCCAAGCGCAGGCGGCTGCAGCTGTGGAGGAGCAGCTGGTGGCCTTCAAGGATGAAGTGCTCCACCAAGTCCGTGACGGTCCCGACCGGGATGCCTGGGCCAGCGGTCTCAGAACCTTTATGCGCCGCTGGCAGGACTCCACCACCGCCGGCAAGCTCTCCCTGCTCCACGGTGCCGCGCCGGTCCGGGGTCGGTACGGCACCCGTATCGGCGTCCAGCCCACCGCCACCGCTCGGCGGCGCTCAGACGTGCTGCGGGGAAGGGGTCGCGTCCCCTCCGGTCGGCCCACGAAGGCGTCACGGACGGCCGAGCACGGCTACAGTGCCTCTGACCGCCGCCGTTCCGCGGCCCCACACTCCCTGGCAACATGTGTGGCCGCGGGGCGCGCTCTTGGCCGTTAAAAGGTCACTATGGGACTGGCAGGGCAAAGCGCGTTTGTAGGGGTCTCATCGCATCGGAACCTGCGAACTGTTAATAAAGCTCCGCCGTGGTGTTGACGCTTGAGGTCTTCTAGTCCTACCATCAGGCGTTGTGTTCCACCTGTGTTCGTACGCCTGTGGCCGTACGTTCCGCCGAGTAGCTGCTCTCGAGTCGTGAGAGCCATTTGTGCAAAAAGCAATTGTTTCTAGAGTTGAATACAAACATGTTTTTTTCTCTTATTACTTTGACCTATTTTGGTGCTACTTTGTGCTAACTTTATTGTGAATAGATTGAGAAATTCTATATTTATAATTTAGTTACGCTTCCCTCCACAAACAAATACTAACCTCCTATTTTGGTGCTACTTTGTGCTAACTTTATCGTGAATAGATTGAGAAATTCTATATTTATAATTTAGTTACGCTTTCCTCCACAAACAAATACTAACCTACAAGTGGAAAATCCAAGGCAATCTAATAGCAATTTCAAATGTCATCGACAACCCGTGCTCTGCCCACTGTCGGGCAAAAAATACCCGACATGAAATACCCTACGGCGGAAATAAAATATCCCACGGCGGAGCTCGGTTGCAATTTGTAAATACGCGGATAATCCAATGGATGAAAATGTAAAAAAAAAGAAACTTTAAACCTGGTCTACTTGTTCAGAACTTTGATTAAAACTAGTCTACTTTCTGGGAAAAGATCTGGTAGCTTTTAACAAGCTGTAGCTGTATGAACTGGAGCTTACCCAACTGCGTATTATTTGTCACAGATGCGCGATAGCTGTAAAACAACAGCTTTTGATAACAGCCGTCAGCCGGCACGCGTTTGGTAAGATAAGTTGATTAAATTGTAATTTTTTAGCACATTTCGACGAGTTTCAGGTATAAATGATTGATTGAAATTAAGTATTTTATATCATGTGAGATTTTATGTTACTGCTATCAACTCGTTTTCAAACTATCAAAAGTTTTTCGCTTTTTTCGATCAGCGAGGGACGTATCACACCAAGGCTGTATTAAAGGGACCCTCCCACCTTCAAAAAAGTTAATGAATTGGCATGAAAGTGATGTCGCTAGGTTCAGAAAGAGCGAAAACGAATATCTACCAAATTTTATCGAAAAATATTCACCGGTTTTCAAGATATTAGACTTTTACTTTTGTTTATTTTTTGGGATATCCGCTGTTCCTAGCGACTTTATTTGAAAGTGCGGCATTTGTTGCGCGCAAAGCAGCCTATACCACCGCGTGCTACCAAACGTGTTAGTAAAATATTTAAAAATCGTTAGATCTCCGCTGACGTCACACATTCAGAGTGGTATTCAAAAGCATTAGCCCCTCTGAATCAAAACGCTGCAATTTTGAAATTCAATATTTCCGACTTAAGTAATTTCTCGATGTTGTGAGTGCCGAAACCGGTAATTGTGAGCCAGGGACCCCATTTTGGCTATCTCAACTCAAATCTAATGTTAAGGTGGGAGGGTCCCTTTAAGTGTATTTAGGGCCTTGGTATTAGGTATCAGTAAAACGCCTTTTGGGCGAAGAACGAGCGAGCGAGATAGTGAGCCCTGCACGTGCGGAAAGGCGAGAGGGTACTTCCAACGGGCTTGTGCAAAGCACCCTTCTAACCGGTCGCTACCGGCGTGCCAAATTTGAACGCAATCGGTCCAGCCGTTCCTGAGATCTGGAAGCGGCATTCTGCACGTGCGCACGTGCAAACGGGGTCCAAACTGACTTTTGCACGGCACCCTACTAACTGGTCCCCAACCGTGTACCAAATTTGAGCGCAATCGGCCCAGCCGTTCTCGAGATCTGGGAGCGCCCCCTGCACGTGCGCACGTGCAGTAGCACCCTAACAGCAACACATGGGAATACATTGCCTGGTGGGTGCCTACCTGTATGCCAAGTTTCAGCGAAATCGCCCCAATAATTACCGAGTTATTGAAATGGGAACAAATTTGGCACCTCTTCTTTTTGCATTTTGCACGTGCAGTGGGGGTCACTCACATAGATCAAGCGTATCCGAACTTTGGTAGAAGGGATGCAGCTACCCTACAAAAATTACCGCAAGACAATCGCCCAAGCGGCTGCTGAGATATGAGCCTCTCAAAATCACTACTTTTGCAAAACAGCTTGAACACCCTTGACTTTCCACGTGGCACGTGCCACGACGGTCACTGAGATGTATCAAAAGTCAATTACGGGGTAGAAGGGATGGGGCTACCCAGCATAAAAGACTGCAGGCCAATCGGTCCAGCGGTTGCTGAGATATAAGCCTCTCAAAAGCGTTACAGGCCGGGCCGCTCATACTGAGATTTTTCCGTTATATTGAAAAGACTCGCTTCGCTCGCTGCGCTCGCTCGCTCGTAATCACACCCATCTATCACCCCTGCCTTTTCCAAAAAAAGGTTTTACAATAAAATGCCGGTCCCGTAGCTCAGTTGGTGGAGTGTTGGACTCCGCATGATGATAGCACGCGTTCCCGGTTGTAACAGTCAACCGGGAAGGTTCGACGGGTTCGAAGCGCGACTGGCACTTGACTTTTATGGGCCTCCTGACAGGTATGGTTGCGGTTGGTGGCAGGTGGTAGCCAGGCAAAGTCAGGGAGCGGATGGGCCGTGTGCAGCTATGTGCGCACGTTGAACTTTGGACTCTAAATTCTGCCATAGAACTGGAATTAAGCGATCAGAGGGTAGAGTAGAGGGCAGGGTCACCCCGGCCACCGCATGTCAGGAACTCAGCCCGACTGTTCGGTTTCCCTCTCGCCTCTGGCCTTTTGTCTAAATCAGATCTAACCAAAAGACATTGGATTTGGTTCCTCACGTCTTATTGCCACGATATGGTCAAGCAAACAGGCAAACAAAACTGTGCAATGCAATGACTTGATATTACAATGTGACTCGAATGCGACATGAGCGCAGTCGCTACTCGTTTATGGCCTCCTTGAATCACGGTGAGGCCGTGTGTATACAAAATAATTGCCGAGGAAATGTAAGTAAATCCCTAATGGGGGCCTGCCATGTTAATATAGCTTATTAACATGGCCAGGCGTCGGGTACCGGTAGCCGAACGAGGTTGATGTTAGAGGCAGGACTGCAATCCCACCTCTTAAGATTTTGGCTGTTCGGCGCAATTTAGTTGGTGGGCTTCGAACAGGACAGTAGTCCCATTCTCAACAGCGTGCAACAAATTGTGCTGACCACATTGCCGCGGAGCGAGCTGACAAAGCCGGCACATCAGTCCGACTCAGAGAGCCACACCACACGGACAACGTTCCGGTCCCGCCCGAATCTCCTGCGAGAGTGCGCCGCCGCCGCAGCACCAGCCCCACATCGACCGCCGGTCACATGATCTACGGGTCACCAATCAGCGAACGCGCCGCGCGGCGCGACCGAGCGCCCGCCGGGTAGACTGCGCCGCAGCGCTGCTCGCTGCAGCAGCGGCGGCCAGCCGGACGGCCCGGCGGCCGTAAAGATGTAACAAATACTAACATTTCTCCCCACCAAAATGTGGGAACTCTAAAGTTAACACATTTTCAACACAAACGCGCACACATTCACAAGCAGGCACACTTCACTTCACTGGCCGCACTCGAACTTGGTTGCGGCTGTCGTTGCGGGTTTCGTTATTCCTCCCGCAGCTGACCATGGGCTCCTGGACCGGAGGCCAGCGTCATCTGCCACGTCCTCTTCTTCCTCCTCTTCCACAGGCGTGGGAACGCTGGGAAGTGAGGCGGTGCTGCCGGTGGTGCAGGCGTCCTCCAGCTCCGGCTCCACCTCCGTCTTGGGCCGTCGCTCCTCCAGCGGCTCCAAAGACGTCGTCTCTTCGGAGACGGCTGCCGACAGTCACCCAGTGTCGGCGTTGACGGGCACCGTCGGGACCGCCGGGGCGCTACAGCACTCCGGCTCCGGCCCATCCCGCTCACAGCAGATGTGTCCATCTCCCCATGGGGAGACGAGGAGGGCCCTAGACGCTGACTCCGGGCCACAGCCCAGGAGTTGTGTTCGCCCGGCGACAGCCCGGCTCTGCCCTCACCACTGTGCTCTGGGTCCTCATTTGACCCCTTGACAGAGAGAGTCATCTCCCCGTCTTTGTTTATCACCGTGTTATGTTGCTTACCGCTCAGGCGAGTCTTTCCTGCATTGAGCAGCTCTGGCTGCGAGGTTCGCGCCTTTGCGGAACCATGATCGGATGATGAGTATTCATCCGTCGTCAATGTCAAATTCATGTCATTGGAACAGTCCACTGGCTCGTTCCAGTGTGGATCAGGCAGCATGCCATCCACTTCCATTGGCTCATTTTGGCCGACCTTCATTTCAGCCAGACTCCTCACCTGTCTCAGCTGACGACAGTGGGAATTCTGGTGACCGGGCTGATTCAGCGAATCATCACATAAGTACCCGTGCAGTGCGTAGCCAAAGACAGTCTCTATGGCTCGCAGACCCTCTCCGATCTCGATCTGCCTCCACAACACGACACGATACAAATAATCGATGCCGATTAGGAGATCCACCTCCCCACCGTCAAAATCGTCGGCCATCAAATCCGGCAGTCCGGAAGGCCCAGTGGGCGGTGAGGTGGCTGGGAGGGGTGAGCACAGCAACTCTGTGCTCCACATCTTCAGCGTCACGGGATCGCCACCGAACCGACTTCGGAGCGTCACTTCAACTTGTTCGTAAGGTCTGGCTGCTTCCGTCTGTTCCTGGAAGCCGGAACAGGCAAACATGCCCGTACCTGTTACAGGGAGTCCCAGCTCCTTGGCCAGAGAGTCTCTGACATAGGAGGCATCTGAACCTCCATCAATGAGGAGACGTGCCTTTCGCTTGCCTTCCGGTCCCTCGACATCAACCAATGCCGTCAGGAAAAACGTTTCTTTTCCAGAGATGCCTGTGGCATTGTAACATCTGTGGCTCTGGGAACCTGAGTCACCAGCTTCGGCATCGGACTGACCACCCTCAGTTGTGGCCTCCACAAGGCAGAAAGGTGGAGCCTCAGGCGACAGCCCGGGCGTCTCTTCACCGATCTCCTCATGTGGGGCAGCACTCGCAAAGTGAAGCAGCGAGTGGTGCCTGTTGCCACAGATGGCACACGAGTCGCCACGACAGACTCCGGCCACATGACCCGTCCCGAGGCACTGATAGCAGGCTTTGGAAGCCCTGGCGCTCTTCCATCGGG